ATCTAATTTTGCCTACACGTTTTAGGGCCTTGTGATTTACATTCATTCATGAGTGCTATCAGAGCCAAGACTTTAGCTCCTAGAAGCAGCCACACTTCTATTCACATAGGTATCCCCATCGGAAGTACCACGTAATTATAATACTTCAACATATACATGCTATGGGTTTATTAAGAACTTTTGTTCAACCTTACCTTACACAGTACGAGAACTAATCAGAATACACCTTGGGATAGAAAATATAAATTAGTGCTTGCAATCATCTATGTGGTAGAATGATTAGTACCTGAGACTTGTAGGTGGGCCACTAGCATCAAGGTGAGCTCCCACCATTGGAGATTTAGTTGATAGGCTTGAGACCCATCCATATTAACGTCTTTATTACCAAGTCTTTTTTTAGACCTTTGGTAAATAGATTCGTTAAATTTTCACAAAACCTTACATAACTTATAGTGACTATACCATCACTAATTCTTTGTCTTACAATACTATGTTAAAATCCCATATATAGACTCTTTCCATTGTATGCTCGATTATATGCCTTCGATACCATTGCTTCATTGTCACAATGTATCAAGATTAGTGCCATTGGTTTAGGCCACAATGAAATTTCATTGAGTAAATTTCTCGACCATTCTACTTCTTGGGTGGTAGATGCTAAGCCTATAAATTTAGCTATCATGGTGGAGTCTGCTTGACAAGATTGTTTCCTAGAACCCCAAGAAATAGCACCCCTACCAATTGTAAAAACCCAACCAATTGTAAAAGTATAATATGTTGTATTTAAGTTCCAACTAGCATTTGTATATCTTTCTAAAATAGAAAAAAAAACCTGAAAAAAAATGCCATTATTCATTGTACTTTTTAAATATCTTAGAACTTTATGAACAATATACCAATGTTCTTTACTTAGATTACTTGTAAACCAACTTAGCATCGCAACTATAAAAGCAATGTCTAGCCTTGTACACACTATAGTATACATTGGACATCCAATCACCTTTACATATTCATTTTGTATTATCGGCATGCCTTTGTTGGGTACTAGTCTTAGATTACAATCATAAGGTGTAGACATTGGCGTACAAACTGACTTACCATACTTCATTACAATTTTTTCAATGTAATGAGATTGAGACAATGTTAAGCCATTGTTGTCTCTCTTTATTCTTATAACAAGAATAACATCTACTGTACCCATATTTTTCATGTCCAAATTCCTTGATAGGAACCTTTTCATGTCCTCTACTTGTTCTAAATCAGTACCAAAGATTAACATGTCATCCACATATATACAAATGATGACATCTCTACCGTTATGGAACTTACTATAGACACATTTATCAAATTGATTCATCTTGTAGCCGTTAAATAACACAACTTCTTCAAACTTTTGATGCCATTATTGATGTGCTTGTTTTAATCCATTCAAGGACTTTACAAGCTTATATACTTTCCTTTCTTGACTAGGAAAGACAAACCCTTCAAGCTATTCCATATATACCGTTTCATCTAATTCACCATTTAGGAATGTCGTTTTAACATCCATTTAGTGAATCACCATTTTATGTATCATTGCAAATGCTATAAGCACTCTAATTATAGATACTCTTGCTATCGGTGCATATGTATCAAAATAATCAATCCCTTCTATTTGTTTAGAGCCCTTGGCCACTAGCCTCATTTTAAACTTATCTATGGTTCCATCAACTTTTATTTTCTTTTTGAAAATCCATTTATAGCCTATTAGCTTGGAACCTAGTGGGAGGTCTACCAACTTTCAAGTTTTGTTTCCCATTATAGAGTCCATCTCATCTTGTTTTGCTTCACTCCAAAATGAAGCATCTTGAAACCTCATTGCCTCCTCATAAGTTTAAGGATCACTTTTACCTTCTATATTAAAGCAATAAGGTAAGCATTCACATGTTTCTTATCTTCTACCTTCTACTAAGTACATAAAGAAATCGGATTCATATGTCTTTACTTTTCTAGTTTTTTTACTTCTTAAAAGCTCAATAGCTTCGTCACCATTTTTCAAAAATTTATTACTTTCTATTACTAGTTCTTTGGGTCTTGGAATTGAATTGAACTTTGTTTTATCAAAGATAGCGTTTCTTGATTCTATGACTGTATTAATGGAATAAGAATCATTGGGTTCTTTCACCATGAAACAATATGTTTTACTATGTTCAGCATATCCTATAAATATACATTCAATTCCTTTTTCACTCAATTTCCTTATTTTTTTGTTTTGGAATTCTTACTATGGTTTCTAATCCCTAAACTCTTAAATAATTAAAGTTTGGCTTTTTTCCTTTCCATAGCTCATAAAAAGTAGTTTTACTCTTTTTGTTTGGGATTTTATTTAGTATATGACAAGCTGTTAATAAGTTTTTGCCCCAAAATCCTTTTCTTAAACTTGAATTAGAAAGCAAAGCATTGACCATTTCCATAAGAACTTGATTCTTACCTTCCGCTGCACCATTTTGTTATGGTGTGCATGGAGCAGTAATCTCATGAATAATACCAATAGATTCAAAATACTTAAGATCATAATATTCATTTCCTCTATCACTTAGTAAACATTTGATAAACAATTCACAATGCAATTCAGTTTCATTTTTATAAATTTAAAATTTTACATTACTTCATCTTTAATATGTAATAAGTAAACATAGCAATATCTAGATAAGTTATTTATAAATGTTACGAAGTATTTCTTTCCATTAATAGATGGAGTACTATACATGTCACAAACATCATAATGTATTAATGCAAACAATTTGGAGTTTCTTTTAACCTTAGAAAAAGAGGTTATTGTGATTTTAGTAACCATGCATGTTTGGCACATATCATTACTTACATCAATATTTGGTATTAACTATAATTTAGCCACATCATGCATTCTTCTATAATGAACATGACCTAATATATTATTTCATATATTAGACAAAGTTGCTTTATTATCATGAACATTAAATGAGGCATCAATATAAGTAGAACTAGTAATATTCTTATGAATATTAAGTTTGAACATATTTTCACAAAAATATCCACTTCCCACATATTGTCCACCTTTTGTAAGGATGAACTTATCTACTTCAAATACTAACTTGAAGTCATACTTATTCAACAAACCACCCGACAAAAGATTCTTTCTAACTTCCGGTAGATAATAGACATTGTTTAGTACAAGTTATTTTTCAAAAGCAAACATGAGTTCCATGGTGCCTTTTCCTTTTACTTGTGTAGTGGGGGAATTTCCTACATATAGTACGGTTCCATCATTGACTGCTTCCAAAGTCTAGAAGAACCTCTTATCCTTGCATTCATGATTAGTTAGGCGACTAGTGGCTTTGCTTCTTTAAGAGCTATGGGATTTCCCTTTATTTGTGACTAAACTGTTTAGCTAGTTGCTGTTGTGATAGACAAAGCTTTGCAACGTGGAGTTGGTTTTGTTTTAAAAACTTCCTTTGCTACTAATGGTAGTCTCTTGGGAAGGTTAACGAGGAGTCTAGGATATGGGGCTGTGAAAAGATGCTATAACTGTTGAGTCAGTTGTCATTGTAATAGATAAAGCTTTATAGTGTGGAGTTGGTTTTGTTTTGAAGACTTCCTTTGCTTTTAGTGGTAATCTCTTGGGAAGGTTAACAAGGAGTCTAGGATGTGGGGCTACGAAAGGATACTGTGAAAGAATGGTAGTCTAAATTTACAATCTTTGTGCTAAATGGTGATCACGTGATGGTCACATGGTTTTTAATGGTTTTCATATGCATTCTATGCATTTGCTTTTTAGTGCTTCTTTGTTTTTCCTTAAGCTTTTCTCCTTTGTTTTGTTGCTCAACAAGCCATTGGCCTTGATGTTGTAAAAGCCACATGGCTTCCTTTTATTTGCTTAGTCATTTGCCAGATGCTTGTGCATGACCTAATGCCTTTCTAAACGTGCTAGTATATAAACCAGCTATTTCAACAGTTATGAATATTCCCTTTCTCCAGAAAATATTTCTTCTTTCTCTAGTTCATCTTCATTGTTTACTTGAAGTATTTTTTTCTTTCAAAACCAACATGGTATCAGAGCAATTAATTAAATCTTAAGGATTATTTTTTTCTCTACTATTTTACTCCTTTTTCCTTGATTTCTATATTGTGATTCATGGTAAACTCTGGGTTCAGTAGCACAGCTCCTCCATTTTTTACTGGAGAAAACTATGCTTTCTAGTCTGTTAAAATGTAATCTTATCTCAAAGCTTTTTCTCTTTGGAAGGTGGTGGAGATCAGAGCAAAAGTTGTACAAAGGCATGCTAACCCAACTTTGGCACAAAAAAAGCAGTTTGAAGAAAATAAGGCAAAAAGGTACAAAGCACTATCCTGTTTACAATCTGCTTTATCTGAAGATATATTTGCTAGAATCATGCATTTATACAATCCAAAAGAGGTCTAGGATTATTTAAAGGAGGAAGTTCATTATAGTGAAAAACTAGAAAGATTCAAGCTTTTAATCTGACTAGGCAGTTTGAAATGTTGACTATGGATGATAAAGAGACTATCAGAGAATTTTTTGGAAAGATAATGGGGTCTTGTAAATCAGCTTAGATTGTTGGGTAAGGAAATGTCTGAGGAAAGGCTGGTTAGTAAAATGTTAGTAGGCCTTTTTGAGAGATATGAGTCAAAAATCTCTTCCTTAGAGGACTCTAGATACATTGGCTAGATGACTTTGAAAGAGTTAGTAAATACTTCAGAAGGTTTAGAGTAGAGAAGGGCTTTTAGGCAAAAAGGCTCACTAAAAGTGCCTTAATTGCCAATAACAAGAATTTGAAATCTGGTAACAGTAACTCTAGGAGGAATGATGTAAATAAGAAAGATAAAGGTAAGAAATTAATGAGAAGAGGCAAAGGGATCAGAAGAAAACTTTTTCACCATGCTCTCATTGTAAAAAGACAAACCATACTAAGAAGAATTGTTAGTTTAGACCGAATGTTAAATGCAAGAAGTGAAACCAGCATGGACATGTTGAAAAAGTATGCCAAAATAAAGGTAAAAGTGTTGATGAGAAGGCAGTTGTGGTTGAAGAACTTCAAGCTGAAGATGAGGTTCTGTTTATGGTTAAGAGTTCCGATAATACTGAGAAGAATGACACTTGGTTTTTGGACAATGGTTGCTCCAATCATTTGATTGGATGCAAAGACTGCTTATAACACTAGTTGAGAGTTTCAGTACCAAAATGGAAATAGGTAATGATGATTTCTTGTTTTTTTTTTTTCAAATTGAAGAGAGGGGGGATTCAAACCTTGCTCTTTAGATAGGGAATCATGTACCAACCAATAAGTTAAATGCTCGGGTGCTAATGATGATTTCCTGTTAATGAAATATAAAAATTGATTTTAAACGATAAAAAAATAAATACAATAAAATTTGTGAATGAGTTATAATAAAACATGGTATAAGGTATTAAACCCATCACATAGTGTTGGTGATTTTATTAATATGCATAAAATCTTGTTCTTTTATTTTTTGTTAAGTCATGCTTTTCATTGATATAAAATAAAAGTGGTTAATCAACTTTCGAGGGTCCATGTGATGCTCATGCAGTCTCACCTGGTTTTCTTGACATTAAATAAAAATAAATAAATTATTTGTTATCTCACAAAACCTAATCTTTTCTATCACAAGATTGGATTTAAAACTTTTAACGTTAAAATATTCTTAAATTTTAATCATTCAAATATTCTTGAAAGGAAAAATTAAATACAATGGCCATTGAAGAATGATTTCTTTCTCACCAACATTGATAATAAAATGCCCAAGCCAACAACCAATGTTCTGGTAATATTCACTTTTTTCAATAAAAATGCAATAAAAGAAGAGGGGAGTTGAAGAAACTTATACTCCCTCCTTCCACTGTGGTTAATTACTTTTAAGTTTCATTGACTTAAAAAGAGATTATTACCATGTCATCGGCGTATTGTAAGTGGGTGACACAGACTTGAGGGACCTACTTCAACCCCTTTTATAAGACGCTGATCAGCAAACTTGTGCATCAGTACACATTGTACCTCCACCATTATGTTAAAAAGAAGGGAAGAGAGTGGACAACTTTATTGAGTAAAAACTATAATAACAAAAAAAAATAAAAATAAGAAAAATTATGTGAGCTGATGAGAGAAGTCTTGGTGAAAATAATGATATTATGATAGCAATAAATGCTGATTGCTATGTTGGAATCGGGGGATGGTAATTGTCGTAGTTTTATGGTGGGCTTTGAATGTTGGCAAGAAGTGGATACATGCAGCGGTTTTGCATGGAATCATTTTTATTATCCATGCAATTTATAGGAAAAAAAACAATCTACTTATAATTAAAAGTCATTTGAAACTACTATTTAGTAAGATAACAGGTGGGAGCAAACTTTATTTGTTTGAATAGCACATGGGTTGAAAGGGGCTTTTTCTCTTCCATTGTAAACACTTGCTCCATGTGGAGAGATGGTAAAGAAGGGCTGACAAACTTTGTTGTCTCAGTTGTCTATTTCTCCTCATAAAAGATAAGTTAAAAAAAAAATGTTTCACTTCGAAGTTCCAAGCTATGTGACAAGGCCCATAATCCATTAATTATTAAGATTATCAAAATTTCTCTTAAGTTTTTAATTTTTTTTTCTGGGCCAATGAAAATTTTACTATAATCATTGATAAAACATTGTACATATTGTCTGATAAAACAAAGTAATAGATGCTGAAGTACATCAACAAGCGCCTACACGAACACCCAGCTGAAATAGGCATCCACGCTAGCAATGACAACAATAAACAAATAAGAAAACAGTCCTTGCACCCATACAAAGAACGTATTAATTCAAGCACAACTGACACCAAGCAAAGAACATGAATGTCACATCCACATAAAATTAAAATCTAGTAAGATATAGTGAATGTCAAACCGGATCCACTTATTTTTTCTTCTATAATTTTACTGAATCGATCTATTGCTGATGGACTGAGGTAATTAACATGGTCACCTACCTCACCTTTCCTAAAAAGGAACTTATATTCAACTTGGAGCCCATGGAATTTTCCAATCTTGTTCGCCTCCAAATCCTTTAAATTGCTCAAGCTACAAAACTTTGCTATCTCTTCAATGACACCTGCTCTCTCCTCCTCATCAGAAAAAGGAAGGGCTATGAACTCTGCAATCCTCTTTATTTGCAGTATTGGGTCTTCCTTCAAGTCTTCATACCTGAGAAACAGTACTTTGTGTGCTTTCTCCAAGCTCTCCTTCCAATACCCCAAGGCATGATCCCAAAAGGGTCCAAACAATTCCTCACCTCGACAAAACATCTCAAAACATTCCTCCAATGGCCAATCCGCAAGCCCGGGAATGCTTATATTAAAGTGCCAAAAAGAAACGATGACATCT